AAAAAATGAGAAGTAACTCATATTTTTTTGGTATAATGTTCACAATTTGATTAGTTAGTTGGTATTTCTTGTAATACAGTTTTATCTTCATTAATTAATTGACTAAGAAGAATGTAATTGAATTAATTTTTTGATGATATAAGTATAATTAAGAGCTAGTGAAGTAGATCAATGATCACCATAATTAATTACCTGAATATTGTGGTGGTTGAAGGTCACTACTACTCATGGGATACCCAGCCTCCACAAAGCCCTCGATATCGTGGTTCTCCACCTGGCTACCGCCTTGGCCCACTACGAGGAGGTTGAAGTCCGGGCCCAAAGAGTGCGGCCTATCATCTGAGGACCCAATAAACCGGATAATATCCGCACATGCATTAAGCTGCATGGGCTGGGCCGTGGAGTTGGTGTGGTTCGGATCCGAAACCGACCCGACACCTTCTTCTTCGCCTTCCAATCCATTTGCCACGTGGCTGTCATCTATTGGAAGGAGCACGGGTTGCTGCAGTAATACGGGAGAGTTGAAATGGGCCTCCGAATGGGCTGGTGGGCCGGATATGGAGTGCTCCGAGAGAACAGGCCTTGGTTGGTAGGTGTTAGGGTTTGGGCCCTCATGAGAGAAGAAGGATTTTACACGTCGGATTAGGCCTATATTCTCTTGGACCTGAAACAATAATTCAAAAATTTACACATTATTCTAATTTGTGTTTTCAGAAGGAAAATGTACTCAAATTTAATTTGAATAAACCAATCAACAAATCGTTTAAAGATTCTTGAATGAGATGGTTTAATTATTAAGCGGGTCGACCTGTCATACTCTGAACGAAAATACATATTCGTATTATTAAATAACATACTTTTATTTAAATTATTTCTTAAAAATATGAAATTATATAATGCATTTATGTGTATGCCGGCTAATGATTTTTGGCAAATTAACTATTTAACCCTTTTTGAAATGCTACGTAATTGGCAAAACTGTAAAATTTGTATAGTAACTTGGAGCAAATAACAGTTTTATTTTTTTGTGATTGCAACAAATGCCCATTAGATCTAACCAAGTCACGAACATTTTACTCAAACACGTAACAAGTGAGTCCGTATTTTTGCCATTTTTCCAATTTGATAGTGAAGAAATTTAAATTATATTTTTGTTCATATTTTGGTCTATTTTAATTAGTTAATGATATTTTCTAAAATCGCAAAAGTTATAATAAATTTGTAATTAGTCAGAAGTTACTCAGATATATTTTATTATTTTTTCCAACACAGCTTGAAACATAATATTTCTGCAAATTTGTAACAAAATAATAGATTTATTTTATGGATTTTTTGAAATTTGTATTTAGGCCATCTAAGAAGTGCAGTTTGTAAAACATAAAGATAATTAAGTGATCTTTTTTGTTAGAATTTTAGAAAATGTATTTAGCAATATCTAATTACGTACCATTTCAGTTGTTCCAAGTTCAAGGACTCCATCTAGCAGAGGAATGCAAACCACTGTCTGAAGAGTACAAAAATGTTTGTTTGACTTATTTGACTATTTTCAATTTAATTTCAAGAATATAATCAAATGAACAGATTAAATAATATTCATAGGGTTAACAATAATAATTAGGGATTACCTGCATTCCAGCACTCTTTCAACACCAACATGATTGAAATGAAAAAGAAATCAGACTATGTCAGTAAAAAATTCGAGAAAATTNGGATCCACATGGGGTCCAGGGGAGCCATGGACCCCCTCATTTTTTTAAATATCATTATATATATATATATACATATAAAAAAAGAAAACACTATAATATATGGAAAAAAATGCAAAAAAGTATTTATAATATATAAATAATTAAAACTTAGTTTCTATGATATTTTAATTTAAATTAATATAAATAATTAAAACTTAGTTTTTATGCTATTTATTTAAAAATATACTAACGATCCTTATATTTTACATTATTAGATAAATTTTTAAACGTATTTATAATGATTTACTCTTTCGGTCTCTTAATTGTAAATCGATTTAGTGATTTATAAAATCGAGTATTTAGTTGGATTTTGTTATATTTTTGAATGTTTATTGTTTACTTTATTTTTTTGTGTAATCACATATTTTTATTTTATTTTTTTTTAAAAAAAAAGTGGTCGTTTGATAAGCTCTAATCAACAAAAATGCAATGCAACGTGCTGTAAATGTTAAGTTTAAATAAAATTTTAAATCAAAAAACTTTTTTTTTTTTCTTATAAATTATAGATGTTGATATTAAATTATAAATACATGAAATCTCTTATTCTTTTGTTTATTTTTGTAAAAATTTTGATGGTGATATAGATTCTAAATTTTTTAAAACTTGATGTTACATATATCAATATTTATGTTTATAAGTAAACACATTTTTATATGAAATGAGCGTCTTGACTTAAACTACAAGATTGTTATTTTGTATTTAAAATTGGATCCTCCTGAGTAAAATCCTATATCCGTCACTGTAACCAAACACCTTTTCTCTAATTGGTAAAGTCAAAGCATCCAAGTGTTCAAACATCATTTTTTTTCTAACGCCATTTTTCTTCGTAATCACTTTTTTCACCTTTTTCTGAGTGCGTTTGAATTTTGTAGTGTGTTTATACTTTATATATGTAAGAAAAAGTTGGTTTTGTACCGATTTACGATTCCATTTTTTATAAGTGGAAGACATAGAAAATTCTCAAAACCATTTTAAGGTGAATGAGAAATTAATTCTAAGTTGTATATGTGGGAAATGTAAAGTTGAACCAATGAGTTTAAGTAACTCAAATTATTGGATTCGTAAATCATTATATTTTGATAAATGTTTGGACAAATTTAATGAGCCATAATCATACATTATGTACGCTAGAATTGTAGAATGACTCGTTGGGGACAAGTAGAAAAAAACGGAACTCGATTCCGAGTCCGTATGAGCTCGTACGAGCCCGCGGCGCACGGGCGCGCAACTGGCTGCGGAAATCAAAGGGTCGCAACCCTTGGTGACCATAAGGTATCTTTTGGCCACTAGATGCATCCGTTCTCGTTCGGGCATGTCCCAAAAGGTGTCTTTTGACACTTAAACCTCTTGGAGGTGTTTCACTACATCTATAAATACCCACATACTTGAAATCATTAAAAACATGAAAATTAGAGAGCTGTTGCATTATTTTTCAAAGGTCATATAGCATATTGTGGTCTACGATTTTTTCATTGAGTCTTGAGAGTTCCAAACAATAGTAGTTTTCGCCGAAGGCTTGTATATTTGAAGTACCACTATATACAAGTCGAAAGTCGTTATATCTTGGAGGCGTTTGCCGTTAACCGTGGGTATTTTACGGGGCAATTTCGTCATAAAGAGAACGTAACTATTACGTGCCTCGACTTTGATTTTTGTTCATTCTTCTTAAGTTGTCTTTTTGATATTCACAAACCATAAATATACTACAATATATATTGTCTTTATATATATATATATATATATATATATATAGGGGCTGGTTCAAATAAAAACCATGTCTGGTGTGAGAACCGTGAGAACCATATTTGATGCTATTTTTAATTGTGTATGATGCTATTTTTAATATTACATGGTGCTATCATTTTCATAAATGCTAATAAAAATTTGTTGCTATTTTTAATATTTTTAATCAAATTCATCCTAGTTAAAAATAGCACTAAAACACAATTAATCATAGCACTACATACAATTAAAAATAGCGGTTCTCACGGTTCTCACGCTAGGACTCGGTTCTCATTTGAACCACATCCTATATATATATATACATATTTATATATATATACACAAATTAAATTATAACAACAAACAATTCAAAATTAAACCAGTAAGGCTGCTGTTAGGTAGACCTAACAGGTAGACAATCATATTTTTACTCAACAGATAATTAAATTTGAACTTTCACATACTTTGATATGATATGAAATTTTATAAAATAACTACGCCATTTCGTTATAAAAAGTTTGAAGAGTCGACGTCTATCGGTTAGACTGTCTCATTTTCCATACAAGTATTTGTGAGTTAAAAATAATTTCAAACCAATGCTTACCCAATTCCAGGAGCAAATGAGAAGGAAACACACATTAAGTAGAACCATTCGGATTCCGTCAAGTCCTCCGGCGAAAGTGCCGCCGACGGCCGCCGCGTGTGGTGGTTGGAGTCGCCGGAGGAGAGCGATTCGTATAATTCTTTTAGTTGTTGGCTTCTATGGAGTGTGGCCTCTTCGGTCGAGACCTCTATCGGTTGAACGGTTTTTCTAGTCTTTATAGCTCCATTGTAGTAACCTTCATCCCATACTAGAATCCTTCAACAAAATTGTGAACATAAATTAAGATTTTTTTTTTATTATTTGGTTAAATTTTAGATAAAAGAAGAAGTTCTTGTAAGTTATAGTGATTTCTAAATTGAAAAAATAATAATAATAATAATAAAGTATATGCATGGACCATCATGTTGAAGCTATGAAGAGAGAATCATACTAGAATCCTTCAACAAAATTGTGAACATAAATTAATATATTTTTTTTTTTGGGTTAAAATTTAGACAAAAGAAGAAGTTCTTTTAAGTTATAGTGATTATATCGAAAAAAAAAAAAATAGATAAATTAATAAAGTACATGCATGTCTCTCATCATGTTAAAGCCATGAAGAGAGAATCAGAAAATGAACATATAAATATAAATATAGATATATATGATTTTCAAGCACCATATATACTACAAGTACTATCTTACTAATGAACTATAAGTTTGAATAGAACTAATACTTTGTGATTTATATAAGTATGATTCTTGAAATTTCAAAGTACACACACAAATAAATTTGATATATATTATTTAATTTATACCCTTGTTGGGGGCAAATTTTCCAGAAAAGGCTATACGTCCACCGGATCGATTGAACCACCGCCTGTAACGTGCTTTGCAGCCGAGTCTTGGCCGGCTCGGCCATTTTACTTCATCAAAAAAACACAAAATATTGAATTTAAATTCCAAAATCTTTTATTTCCAATATATTTGTCAGATCATCATTTGTCTTGTAGGAACTTTGAAAAAATAAATAAATAAAACTGATGACCAACTTCACAAAAATAATAACATATTACATGTATAACGAAATTCGCATGTATATATGTGTGCTCTTTGAAAT